GAGAGAGAGAGAGAGAGAGAGAGAGAGAGAGAGAGAATTTTTTAATATTTATTTTTTAGTTTTCAGCAGACACAACATCTTTGTTTGTTTGTGGTGCTGAGGATCGAACCCGGGCTGCACGTATGCCAGGCGAGCGCGATACCACTTGAGCCACATCCCCAGCCCTCCCCAGTGTTCTTTTCAAGATCTTCTGCCTGCTTTACTCCTGTGCATACTTGCCCTCCGTATTCCCTCTTTTGATTGCAGGACAGCTGTATTGAAGGCTATAAAATAGCACGCTTGGGAGGGATAGTGTGTTAGCTTCTCATCATTGTGACCAAAATACCTGACACCAACAACTTAAAGGAGGAAAAGCTTATTTTGGCTCATGTTTCAGAGCTTTCGGTTCATGGTCAGTTGGCTCCATGGCCTTGGGCTGGAAATTAAGCAGAACGTGTTGGCAGAAGGGCATGGCAGTGCAAAGCTTTCCAGATCATAGCAGATGGGAAGCAGAGAGTGAGGAAAGGGCCAAGGACAAGATAGAGCAAGAATATGCCCCCAATGACCTACCTACTTTCTCCAACCATGCCCCACCTGCCTATAGTTTTCACTGCCTCCCAGTCGTCCATTTAACTATCAGTGGGCTAACTCACTGGTGAGGTCAGAGCTCTTATGATCCAGTCATTTTTTGAAAGCCCCACCTCTGGACCTTGCTGCAGGGGGACCAAGCTTCAACACATGAGCTTTATGGGGCATTCCAGATCCAAACTCTAGTAGAGCAACACCACATTCTCATCTCTAATCTCGTACTGTTTGAGGTATAGAAGTCATTGGCTTTTTCCAACCCTTCAAGGCCCCACATTTCTAAATTCTTTTGTATCTCTCTTTGCAAATAAGTCTAGTTGTAGGACTTAATAGGAATGTGATCTGCTTTTCAAGTTAGGTAAGGTGGTAGTTTTTTTTTTTTTAAGGATCAAGAGACTTTGTTGGTACAGACTATTTATAATTCATTTTCTATATGTGTATTCTTTTTTGGTGTTTTTTTTTTTTTTTGGTGGTGGCCAAATATCCTAACATAAAATTTATCATCTTTACCATTTTAATTGTGCACTTCAATGGCAAAAAATAAAACTCTGTACTCATTAAATAGTAACTCCTCATTGCCCACCCCATAGCCAACACCTGGCAACCTCCATTCTACTTTCTGTCTTTATTGATTTTGACTACTTTCGATACCTTATATAAGCAGCATCATACAATATTTATCTTTTTGTGAATGGCCTATTTCATATAGCATATATCCTTCTATATAAGGACATATAGAACCTTATACTGTTGTTAAGGTTCATCCATGTTGTAGCACATGTCAGAATTTTCTTCCTTTTTAAGGCTGAATGATATTCCATAATATGTGTGTGCCATATTTAGTTCATCCATTCATCCATTGATGACACTTGGGTTATTTCTACCTTTTGGCTATTGTGAATAATGTTGCTATAAACATGAATCTGTTCAAGTTCTCACTTTCTATTCTTATGGTTGTACACCCCAGAGTGGAATCTCTGCATCATATAATAATTCTGTTTCTAAATTTTTGAGGAACTTATTGACCGTTTTCCACAATAGCTACACCATGTTACATTCCTAGCAGTACTGAATAACAGTTCTAATTTCTCCACATCCTTGCCAACATTTGTTATTTTTTATGATAGCATTCATCTTACTTTTGATGAATAGGGTTTTTTTAAAAACTTCTTTATTGTGGTGAAATATACTTTAAAATTTTTCCATTTTAACCATTTTAAGTGTATAAATTAATTGTACTCACAATGTTATATAGCCATCCCCACTTTATTTCTAAATCACCTTTTTGATAAAAAAGTTATTAATTAAATTTTATATCATGGCAGTTGATCCCTAAATACTTCAGTATGTGTCTCTAGAAAATAGGAACATTTTCCTATATAACACAACACTAATATCACATATATCTATACTCATAATCCTTGCAGAGAATTACTCACAGGGACACATTTTCAAGGGAGGCTGCTAATACAGTTGAGTGGCCATTTGGCAATTTATAATGGAAGAAGGAAGAGTGGATTTTACTGCTATACTAGCTTATAGTAATAAAGCAATAAAGACTTTTAATTGATTTACATTATAAGAAGTTTGGAGGATAGCAACACTGGGAATTGGTGAAGTGTCTTAATCATGTTGTGAGGGACTCATTCTTTCCACCGTCTGCTCTGCCATCCTCTGTATGTTGGCTTTGGGTCTTCATGCTTATTGTCTCATGGATATATCATGGCTACCATAGCACTAAATACTTGTTTCTACTACATCAACCCAAGTAGGAAAGGAGGATGATAGGTGGGAGAGGCTTCCCATTATCAGGGATCCAAACCCTTCAAAGTTTTGCTCAAGTCAGTGGACTTTCCTTCACATCTCATTGGCCAGTTGCAAGGTTCTCTGGAATGGTACCTGTCAAAGAAAAATGAGACAACCATGCCTGCCTTAATCAATCATGACCTGCATCCTTGGGCTGAGCACATTGATGACCTCAAGAAAATTAGATTTCTGGTAGCTAGGAGAAAGACAAATGACTGTTTTGGTTGGCAACTTTAGATATCATATATGAGCAGTATTTTTATCTTAGCATAGAAATTTTAATATCATATTAAATTAAATACTAGAAGGGAGTTCCTTCTGGAATTATTCTGTGAATGATGTTGGGACATTCTGTTCCATCTATTCTAAGAAAAAGAATCTGCTGGGCCACTAATATCAAAGGATCCCTGTCGTCATCTGTCAATTAACTGAAGGTAATTGCTTTTAGAAATCAAAAGAGATTGGGAAAAAAAAAACCAATCACCATTGGTTCTAATTAGAAATTGTATTCTTTGGGAGTGGTAATATTTTACAGAAATCCTTTACTAATATATATATATATTTTTTTGCCAGGGCTCATGAGAAATGTTGCTGGGGTGTGGATAGAGCATTGGTCGACCTTACATATTGAATAGTTTTATATCTGATGATATATAAGGGCACCTGATTATTGGGCCTTCCAAAACTTAGGATATAGTGAAAACAAAATTATAACTGTTAGCAGAAGGAGTATGACTTATTTCTTGGTTGTAGTGCATATTTCCACTTGTTATTTCTATCCAAGAGTCTGTAAACATTTTAGGGAAAAACAAAACAAAACAGATAGTCCTTGTCATTACCACTTATAATTGCAAGTGAACTACAACATAATATAAGGCCTTTACATTTTCCCATGACACACATGGCGAAGATTCCCAGAAGGCTCTTGGTTCATAGATACTGTGACAGTCCTGGTCATTAGTGGGTGGCTTGTTAATCTTTTCTGCTCCATTCCAGCTGGCCCTGAGAACACAATGAAAAATTACTGTGCCAGGGAGCTTATTTCCTGATAAATTACGAAACAAAAAAAGACAACTGACGACACCAAATAGCATTTTCAGTGGAGAATACAGTCATGTGCCGTGTAATGGGGATACTTCTGAGAAGACTGTCATTAGGTGATTTCCTCCTATGGGACACGGGGGAGTGTACTTACACAAACTAAGATGGCTACAATGTCACTAGGCAATGTAACCTTAGGGGACCACAATCATATGAGATTTATCATTGACAAAAATGTCGTTATATGGTGTGTGAGTATAGTTAACATTTATTGAAAGGCCATCTGTAGGCTAGGCACTATTCTGAGTGTTTTCATTATATTTTCAATTTTCATAAAAACCCCGTGAGGTAGGTACCATTACTATTCACTCTTTACTGATCAAGAAATTGAGACACAGTTGGGCACCATGGCACACACCCATAATCCCAGTGGCTTGGGAGGCTGAGGCAGGAGGATTGAGAGTTCAAAGCCAGCCTCAGCAACTTAGCAACTAAGCAACTCAACAAGATCCTGTCTCTAAAAAAAATACAAAAAGGTCTACGGATGTGGCTCAGTAGTTGAGTGCCCCTGGATTCAATCCCTGGTACCGCCACCCTCGCCGAAAAAAAAAAAAAAAAAAAAAAAAAAGAAAGAAAGAAACTGAGACACAGAGTGGACTTAACCAAGGCCATACAACTGCCATTAGTGAGTGACAGGGCTGGGATTCCAAGCCCTGGTCATCTGGCTCCAGGGTCTTACAACTAAAGCTGCCTCTCCTCTCTCTACTGTCCCAGGTAGTACAAATCTTCAATTATAACAAGTAGATTCTTTCCAGCCCCAGAAAGCATTAACTTTGTGACACATCACAATTATTATTAGAAGCTTTTTCTCATTGACAAAAGTTTAAAAAGGTACAAAGATGATCGAGTGTGCTTTACTTTTCTATTTGTAGATTGGAGATATTTTATCAACACTTGAGAAATTAGAAAATTCGTCTTGGAGGATCAGCATTGGTAACAGCATGCTGTAGTTTTGGCTTTGGAGCTTCATAGTTTATATAACGACATTTTTGTCGATGATAAATCTCATATGATTGTAAGAACTATGTTTGGAATTTGATGATAAAAGCATTAATAATCATAGTTCTTTTCATTTTATAAAGACCCTTTTTCAGAAAGTATTTGGGGTCCTAGGTAACAAGGTCATGTGAACATAGAAAACCTCTTTTTTGCCTCCAGGAGACTGTAAATATTCTCCTGGCTGTTGGCAGATAGAAGACTTGCAGAGTAATAAAAATGTCGATGGTGGGAGTCACCACAATCTTTTGCCATGGTTCATTTTTTTCTCTGTGGGAAAAATGAGAACTTCAAGGATGCCAGGTCACAAACAGATAGAAGTTAGAACAGATAGAGGATGAAGGTTTTCACCATCTCAGAGTGTGGAGGAGTCCCCACCGAGCATCCCTACTCATACCACAGATTGAGTAAAAGAGAGTGAAGATCACTCAAACTTAGAGAATGACATTTATTGGAAGAAACGAACACATGGTAGAATGTACAAAGTTGGCAGCATTGGCTCTCTAAGAAGATCTGACCATCTGGATAACAGCTTTGCGAGTCATTTGGAGAAATGATACTATTTGGAAGACATTCTGCCAAACCAAAATCTTAGTGCCAGAACTTTCAAGAAAGTTTATGCAATTTGGGCTCTTCTCCTGTTTTTGTCAGAAACTCATTAGGTAACATTGTTCCAGATATAATTGGCCATATAGGACATAGGAACACTTATCCTTGTTTTTTTTTTAACTATGAAAAATTATTAGAAGATTATTATCAAGAGTAAATATTACACAGAATAAAAAAAAAGAAGTACAATTCAGGATGCAAAGGTAAAACTCTTAGGAGTGTGTAAATTCCTTCTTTCTCCCTGTCTTTCCTGAAAGAGGCAAGGAAAAGTGTTCTCTTCTAGCTGGTAGCTACCTTGGTTATTTAGCTCTGGAAGAGTGGAATTTATCCTTGCTAGGAAATGTAATCAAAGTTTGGGTACCACTTTCAGTGTGACTGGAAGCAATGGGGCAGTTTATTTTAATGGTATCTGGAAGCATGGAAGGAAGAGAACCATCTCTCAGTTACAACTTTAATTCTCAAGACAACAGTGAGGCAGAGCCTCACTGTTCACAGATCAATTCATTTATTCTTTTCAGAGGTACTTCCCGTCAAGTGCATTCTCTGAACTTGCCAAGCCAGAGCGGCTCGGAGTCAGTCGGGTTTAACTCCTGGCCCCTCCACAAACCTCCAGCACTAAGAACAGAGAGCTCATGAATGTTGTTTATCTACTCTGAGTTCTTCGATCACATTAAAAGCTGAATATAGACTAAAGCAGAACAAATAGAATCTTTGGGACTAGGAAAGAGAAGTAGATATGACACAGTCTTCATCTTTGATCAACACAGCCCTACCTGAGAGGGAAAAAGAAATGGAAACATCAAGATCTGTCATATGGGGCATTGATAGGTTGACAGAACCAGAAACTGTTTCTATAAGAGTTTTTCACTGGGGTCTTCTGGTCTCTGGAGGTCTTCACACTTCATAGGGTCTTTTGCAGAGCAAAGTGGGTAGGAAGATAGAGAAGGTAAGAAGGGGGCTTTGCATGTGCGCGCACACACACGCGTGAAAAGAGTGTGCATAAAATTGGTGAAATCTGATTTAAGTTGAAGGGTTGTATCAAGCCAGTTTCTTAGTTGATGATATAATACTGTGTTTTTGCAGGATGTTACCCTGGGGAGACAGAATGAAGGATATACACGATCTGTCTATATTATTTCTTACAACTGCATGTGAATTTGCAATTATTTAAACAAAAAAAAGCATAGCCAGCATTTTAAAAATCCTAAAGAAAACCAAAGTAGTTCCATTGCAAACTGATAACACAGCCATTCATAGGCTTACCCTTTTCACCTCCCAAGGCATCTCGCAAAGTTAAGAAAAGGCATATTTCATATTATTAAGACAGGGAAACTGTGAGTTTCCCGGAATTTGGACATAGGTTACCCCTTGAGAGTTAAACTGATAAAAGAAAAACAGTGTACTTTTAGCCATTGACCATTTTAGGTAATTGCCAAACAAAACAAATGAGCACTGGAAAAACATGCGTACTGAAAAACAGCAAAGCAGTAGAGTCTCAGGAAGGTAAACCTTCACTATTAAGACCTCAAGATTTTAATTTGAGGGGAAGTCATTTGAGGGGGAAAAGGATTATTACCATCAGGAAGGGTGTCTGCACCTCTCTAGATAAGCTAGAAAAGAGGGATCCCAGAGAATAAGAAAGTGTCAAGTTGTCCTGAGGCCCGTCCTGTAGAGTGGGAACTTTGTCCTAAGGCAAGTGTGGATTTGCTCTGCAGTTAGAATTACAGCACTTACTGAACACGGATTATGTGGGAGGTGTTTAATCTCAGCATCATTAACCCTTAGCACAATTCCACAAAACAGAGTTATCTCTACAGTTAGACTAAGGCTTACGAGATGGAATGACATTGCTAGTGAATGGCAGAATTGGGTTGGGGTCTTTTGCCTTACCATACCATTTCTGTCCCACCAGACTGCTTCTCTTTGAAGGAAATCAGTGCAGAGAATTATTGTAGCTCGCTGGCATGGTTTTAGAGTTGTCTCATTAACTCTCTTCATCTAGCCTCCCTGCTTTCAAATTTTGATTTTCCACATAGATCTTCCTAAAAGGGAAGACAATCTGAGTATTTGACACTTATGTTTCTCATTCATTCTACCTTCATATATTGGCATTCTGATTTTGTCACCAATCTAATGTAAAAATGTTTACCATTTTTCTCTGTGGCTGATAATTCTGATTATATTAGGGCATTCTCTTACTGCAAAGATATACAATACTGGACTTGGGTTAACCTCCAAGGTACTACCACCCTGGAAGAACTCAGTCTTTGACTTCTCTCTCCCTTTCTTCAAATTCATTAATCTTGGTGTAGTGAGATAGGAAAATGATGTAACTAATCTAGGCCATAAGGGGTCAGTTTTTGGCAAAGCTGGGGTTGGAAACTAGAGCTTCTAAGTCTTGTAGTGTAACTATCTCAACTTGCCAGAGCACCCTGTTTCAGTGGCAAATCTAGAATAATTGTTTTACCTACTCAATTACCATTGCCATTTTATGTACTCCTTTGGATGGAATTATTTTTGTTAGCATAATTGATAGCTTTGTTATTAATCTATAACTTTTTGGACATAAATATGAATAGATCCTGCCTGGCCATATTGTTTATGCTTAAAACAGTCACTGTTCTTCCATAGATTGGAAAGTCATGGACCAAGCATCTATAGTATCTTCCCTTACTGCAACTTTACTTTTTATGGTTCCAGTTATCCATATGAACCATGGTCTGAAGATATTAAATAGAAAATCCAGAAATGAACATTTTGTACATTTTTTTTCCATTTCGTACATTTTTAATTGTGTGCCATTCTGACTAATGTGATGAAATCTTATGCTGTCCCACTCCATTCTGCCCAGGACTTGAATCATCCCTTGTCCAGTGTATCCATTCTGTATGTGCTCTCTGCTCATTAGTCACATAGTAGCTATCTCAGTTATCAGATTAACTATCATGGCATCTCAGTGCTTGTGTTCAAGTAATGCTTATTTTACTTATTAATAGCCCAAAGTTCAAGGATAGTGATGCTGGCAATTTAGATCCTGTTATGGCTTGGATAGGAGTGTCTCCCAAAATCTTCTGTGTTCATGCAGGAATTTTTGGAAGTGAAGTGACTGGATTGTGAGAGCTGTAACCTAATCAGTTCATGTTAGTTTGAATGGAATAACTGGGTGATAATGTAGGCAGGTAATGGTAACTGGGGCCACGACTGGAGGAGGTGTCACTGGGGGCTTGCTCTGGAAGGGTTCATCTTCCCTGTGATCTCTGATGCCTTCCTCTTGTTCTGTTTCTTGGCCACAAAGAAATAAGCGATACTTCTCCACCGCCCCCTCAACTTGCCTCACCTTGGGCTCAGAGCAGTGAAGTTGGCTCACCATGGGCTGAACCTCTGAAACTAGGAACCAAAATAAACCTTTTCTCCTACAAGTTGTTCTTGTTGGGTATTTTGGTCACAGTGATGAAAAACTAAACACAGATGGAAAAGATAAAAGACATAAACTGCTTTCTTAAAGTGAAAATATATGTTTTAGAAAAATATTAGATAGGGTTGAGTGCTATTCATGGTTTCAGGCATCCACTGGGGGTCTTGAAATGTATCCCCCTCACATAAGGAGAGACTACTCTATATATCGCATAGACTGGTAATAAATAAATAAATAAGTCATCGTATTCATTAGACCTCAACTCAGTATTTCCACAGTATGGCAGAGTGCTTAGCACAAGTAGGGTATCAATAATTGTGAATTGGATGAATTGGATTGATTGAAAGTGCCTCAAATGCCTTCCAACTCCTAGATTCTACCATTTGTTTAACATTTCTGCCCAGATATATGTTTGAGACTAAGGCATAAATGTTAAAGGCTTGTTATTAGATTCAGGTGTCTGTCTCCTAGTCAGAAAGATCCACCTTATGTGGGAGGACTGTACTAGGAACTCAGACTTCTTTGCAGAGGGATTGGCTTCCCAGCCTCAACGGGGCATGATGTTCTTCTATCTGATGTCTACATTTGGAAGGTCCATAGTCTCAGCACATGAAAGCAGATGTCATGAAGGTTACTCAGAAATTTGGCAGTGCAGGTTCAAACTTGTGGTAAAATTCAAAATAATGAATACCGAGGGGAATCTAATACTGGAAATGTCATTTAATCACATTATCATTATGTTTGTCAAGTCACCAGTGGAAGTCACTAGGGTACATTATTTTCTTAGAAGTGTTGTTTTTTTTTTCCTTAAGGATTATGCTGGAATCCAATATGTCTAATAGATTTTGTCTGATGGTTTTAGGCAAAAATATATCACAAAGTGATAATTAGCTACTTCTGTTTGGTACCAATAATTTTTCCTAGACCTTTTTTTTTTTATTAGACTTCATTTTAATGTGACATCCAGAACAAGTTTTGGTTACAGGTTTATAATTAACAGTTAAGTATTTAGGGATATTTAATGTACTAAGTTGTGCAAACAGTAGACTGTTCATTGGTATGAGGAAATGTCATCTGCCTAGTGAAGGTAAAAGCAGAAGGTGCAGGACTTTGAACCAAGCACACTTCCCTGTGGGTCTCCCCACCACCACACAGCAACTCCCAGACTGGCAGGCAGGCACCATTTCCTGACACCCTGGTCTCCCATCCCAAGGGGCGGACCTCCCACTTCACCAGCAAAGAGTCTCAGAACACACAATTCATATCCTGCTGGGTGTCCACTGCGCATGTGGGCCAGCCCTAGTCCCTCCAGTGGTGTCCGAAGGGAGCTCTGCAGCGCCTGTAGAAGGTGGTCATGGGATCCTCTGCAGAGCGGGTCTGGAGCTGCATGCAGTAAGCTCGAGGATGTTCGCATTGGGACATGGCTCTGCTGTAGAGTCTGCGTTCTCCCAGGCTGCTGCTCAGCCAAGCACACCATCCACTTCTTTCAGCTTTGGATACTCCCAGTTCTGTTACCTTGCAGGTGATGTTGTTATACAGGTGTTGCCAGCGAAGCAGGATCAGCGCTGGCCAGCCCACGATCAGCCCATTCCCACATCCCTGGCAGAAGAGCAGTATTTCCTAGATACTTCTAAAGCCTCTAGTTTTTACTTTTATCGGGGAATTTTAAAAATTATTAGTTTGAGATGGGGGTCTCACTGTGTTGCCAAAGCTGGTCTCAAACTTCTTGGCTCAGGAAATCCGCCTGCCTCTGCCTCCTGAGTAGCTGGAACTGCAGGTGTGCACCATTGAGCCTGACTAGGGGAGTTTTTAATTTATGTATTTTTGCTGTGAAAATGTTATATCCCCAAATGCCCAGCATCTGTATTTTCCCCAGTTTTTTCATTGAGCTAATCTAATGCATTATTTTCTAGAGCATTTATCTTTGTGTCTACTGTGATAGCTGCTCAGTAAAGTCACAAGAAAAGTTCAGATTTGCAAAGCTTTTGCTCTTTTCCCCTGTGATGCTGATTTATTTAGTAACTATTTGTTTATAACACCTGTCTGCCTGGGAGCATACTTATGCACTTAGGTTCATAAACCTGTAAAGGTTAATAGCACTAAAGGTAGGTTGGAATTTGCCTTTGGTACTTAGCTCTTCTAAAAGTCCTAACCCCTTTATCCATTCTTAAATGTACTCAAAAGTTTTCATCAGAAATTTGGCATCAGATCACAGCTAAGACTCTGTGTCTATGTTAACTGCTCACAAGATTCCCCCTACTGAATTCCTTTCCATCTTGAAAGAGTTAGGTAAATTTTTGCCTTAATTATTAACACCTGTTCATTTTATTTCAGTGGTACAGGCATGGATGGGAAGAAATGCAGTGTATGGATGTTTCTACCTCTTGTATTTACTTTGTTTACTTCAGCTGGATTGTGGATAGTGTGAGTATGCTCTTGATGACTTAAAGATTCAGATGCAGTGAGCTAAAAACAAAGTTTTGAGAATATGTGACATATCTATATGGATGTATTTATAAATCTGTTAAGATAATATGCTTAGTAATTTAATCTTACTAAGGTCCCCATTTATTTTCTCATCTTTTATTACTTAAAATAAGATTAAGTAATAAATATGCAAAGCAGGTAATAAAGAATGCTGATTTTGTGTTCATCTGTTCCTTTAATGAACATTTTATAAAGTGGTCATGTAAATTCATTATTTGCAAGATTTTCTAATTTGATACTAACATGATCTGGATTCCATTCATAGTCCTGTTCATAGTTCAAGTATTTGTGACAAGGTCTGATATGTTTATAAGATGAATATCATTACATTGGAAGTCCTGGCTTACCACAAAAATTGCTTATTTCAAGTAATAAATCACTTTAAGAAATTTTAGTTTAAATTCATTAAGAGTGGTGGATAGGGGCTGGGGTTGTAGCTCAGTGGTATAGCACTTGCCTATTCTATGGAAGGCCCTGGATTCTATCGCTAGTCCTAAAAAAAAAAAAAAAAAAAGCTGCAGATTAAAATCATTGCCATAAATTTTGAGGGTGTTTTTAAATGTTTTTAGTATTATGTTATTTTTAGTTGTAGATGGACACAATACCTTTATTTTATTTTTATGTGGTGCTGAAGATCAAACTCAGTGCCCTCACACGTACAAGGCAAGCGCTTCACCACCAATCTACAAGCCCAGCCCTTGGGGGTGTTTTGAAAATTAAGAAAATATTAAAAATAACATTGGAACTTCAAAGAATTAAATGTTATTAAAAAGGATTTTCTCAGAAAAGAATGAGTATGATTTAGAATAGTTTAGTCTATTTAACTGGGAAACAAATGATTCTTGGAATTTTTTGTTTATTTTTCTAAAAATTGCTTTGTTTTATCAACTTATCTTTCTTTCCTGATAGGTACTTTATAGCTGTGGAAGACGAAAAAATATTACCATTAAATTCAGCTGAAAGGTAAAGCTTATCTCTGGGGGAGTTTGTTGTTCAGCCTTTTAGCGAAGCCTTTGCCAGTGGCAGAGCTGAACTGCAGCAGTGACCACGCTTTAACCTAAGCCTCTCTCTGTTGTTTGTTACCCAGGAAATCTGGTGTGAAGCATGCACCATATATAAGGTAACTCTATAATTCTCACCTGATCTGTTGGATGTTAGGAAAAGTTGGGAGGATTAGAGATTTTGAGTAATTATAAAACATTTCATCTTTTTCAAGTATTGCAGGGGATGATCCTCCTGCGAGCTGTGTGTTTAGTCAAGTGATGAACATGGCAGCCTTCCTAGGTAAGAGGAGCATGAAGAATTCGTGATGCACTTCAGTCTATTATTTTGTTAACATTGCCCCAAACTATATCAAAACAATGGTGGGCCTCGCTGAGAATTTAGTATCATATCATGTCAATATACCAAGCCAGCTATTTGTTTTAGGAGCCTTTTTCTCCCCACCTCATAAATCCTTTTACTTCCTCCTGCTTGCCTTGCATTTCTCTCCTTTTGTTTGTCTTTATCATTTCAGCGTACTCTGAACTTTATTTCTTTTGCTGCATGAAATAATATCTTTCATGTGCCATGAAATCCTGCCTCAGAATGTGATGTGGTGCAATACATTTGCTTTAAAAAGAATGACTTATTCATTCCTTCACTGGCAAATATAAAAAGATGCTTGGGTTCTGTGATAAATATTGTTTATAGACCCTGTCTTAAGCCTAAAGAGCAGCACTGACATTAGGCTCTTGCCTTCCTCTGTGCCCACATACATTTTAAGCTGGCAAATGAGGAAAGAGGCTTAAGACAAAAAGCAACCTTTAGTGCTCCTGCCTGACCCTGATTTCCTCTACTTTCTTCAGGGCCCAAGA